ATGGGACGAACCTGTTTAAATAAAGGTTGAATTAATATCTTCTATAGAAATCAAGAATTCATCCAGATGATCTAAGGTAAGCTGGAGCAGATCTGATGCTGCATGGAGGACAAGGTGGAGCATTCTCATGCAGAGAACATCAGAAACAGCTTTATAACAGGAGTTACTCTGATCTTTTTTAACGTTATAAAACACTGACATGGCTATATTGATCAATGTATTGCATATACATTATTTTTCTAACAAATATGTGTTTGCAGTCTCGTTTCCTTCTAAAATTTAATGATAAATGTATCAGCTGCGTCTAAAAATGCTTTGATAAAATGCATAGTCTGTGAAATAATCAGTAATCAGTTAAGTAATCAGTTCGTTACTGCTCAATAATTACTGAAAGACGTCAGGTAAAGTAAGAAAAGTCGATTTTTGTGTTATGTTGCGCCAGCAGCCGCTCAAACTGACTGACAGGATGAACTGTTTGGAACTATTGGGAGCTGCATGAACCACGTGACCGCGTATCGGCGAGTTCAAAGAGTGTCGCAACTCTCTCTTTACAGGGCTCTGCCTGCACCACCTCCTGCCTGTAGCTGGACTCATCGTTGTTTGTGATGCATCCAACCACTGCTGTATCGCATGTTCAGAGACTTATGACTTGACTTGGACTTTTACACCAATAACTTGGGACTTGACTTGGACTTTGACCTGTTTACTTGAAAAGACTTAATATTTTACCCCAAAGTTTAAAACACACATTATTTCAAAAGTGCGCCCCATTAAATCATTTCACTCATTCCGTATTAACAGACACAGACCGTCTCTCTGTGTTTTCACACTTTGTACATATACTGGTGAACACTGTCAGTCATCCAGGACATGGTACATCCAAAAAAAGATTAAAGACAAAAACAACTGGACTTCTGTTCTGTAGCTGAAGATGTTTTGCTTCTCATACGAGGAGCTTTCTCAATTCAAAGAACAGGGAGTGTGGGGTTCAAGTTAGAAAGCTGAGGGGTTCTGTGAGCTAGTTTCATATGCAGATTGCCCTCTCACTGGTCGTGGACTTCAGACGGAACAAGCACACCTAACAGGAGGATCTGAGGTGGAAGTGGTCTCCAGCTACAAGTACTTGGGTGTGCACCTGAATGACAACCTCAGCTGGAGCAACAACACCACCAGCCTGATCAAGAAAGCTCATCAGAGACTCTACTTCCTCAGACGGCTGAGACGAGCTGGTCTGGGAAGCTCAGTCCTCACCTCCTTCTACAGGTGTGCAGTGGAGAGCATCCTGTGCTCCAGCATCAACGTGTTGCATGGAGGCTGCACAGCTGCAGAAAGAAAAGCTGTGCAGAGAGTGGTGAAGGCTGCACAAAAGACTGTTGGAGTCAGTCTCCCCACCATCACAGACACTTACACCTCCAGATGCAGGAAGAGGGCCACCTGCATCATGAAGGACCCCACTCACCCAGCACACACACTTTTTGCCCCGTTCCCCTCAGGAAGGAGGTTGAGGAGCATTAAGTGTAGAACCACTAGACTGAGGAACAGCTTCTACCCTGAGGCTGTTAGACTCATGAATCTCTAACTGGAAAAGCACTGTGAAAAAAATCACATCATGTTGCTGCTGATCTGTTTCATGTTGCTGCTGATCTGTTTCATGTTGCTGCTGATCTGTTTCTTGTTGCTGCTGATCTGTTTCTTGTTGCTGCTGATCTGTTTCATGTTGCTGCGTTCATTCGTACTCATCTGCTCACACAGACTCATGTTCGTGCTGCTGTTTGGCGTATTGTTTTTATACTACTAGTGCTTAGTGTAATTTTAGTTCACATTTTTCTTAGTTCTTATCGTAGACCTTATTACTGTTTTTCTTTTACATTTCATACTTTTGTTGGATGTAACTGGGACCCTGTGTACACAATTTTGTTCCACCTCATGTACCATATGTAGTATATAGAACCTTGAATCCTTGAATTTTTTGCATCGTCTGAAGTCATAATATTAATGACTTGAATCTGACTCGAGTCTAAGTCATGTGACTTGAGTCCACACCTCTGGGGTCTTGACCCTAGCTTTGGTAACCACTAAGTTTGTGTGACTTTAAAAATGTCTCTGAAAATATGCTAATATTTAACTTAGAGCTATAGTTTTAGTCACTTGAAGTTGTGTTTAATCGTAGATAATGTTCTTCGGCAAAGTTCCTCATTTAAGATATGGTGTGTGTGTGTGTGTGTGTGTGTGTGTGTGGGGGGGGTGTCATTTTTAATAACCATAGCAAAGTAAATCAAATCAAATCTCAGTGATTTTTTATTTTTTTATCTGTTCAGATGTTAAGAACAGCTCAAAGTCCTTCAGGACTGATTTGACCAGAGTAAAGGTAGGTTGTAGTGCACGTTTATTTCAGCACTGCCCATCGTCACGGAGCCGATCCTTGGAGCTGTGGTGGACTCTGACCTCTACAACAGGAGAGCTGGGAGTCTTCACATGTTTGTCCAAGAGCAGCTGAACTTACTACTCTTACTACGTTCGACAATGACGGCGTGTTCCAGTCAGTACTTTCAGGAACCTGAGGAACTTGTGAGTACAACCTCGTCAGGTGTTCACACGCCTTATTCCAGCTCACTGTCTGTAAACTGGCTGAGCTTTAGCCTTGCTTCTGTAAGCTGAGTTGATTAGGTGTAGATTGGCTGTGAATCGAGTCAACTCCAAAAGTTAATCAGCTGTAGATGTCCACTCACTGGCCACTTTATTATGTACACCTTACTAGTACTGCATTGGACCCCCTTCTGCTTTCAGAACTGCCTGAACCATGATTCATGTCATAGAGCAAGGCTTTGGAAAAGTTCATCAGAGGTTTTGGTCCATATTGACATTTTAGTGTCACACAGTTGATGCAGATTTATCTGCTGCACGTTTATAATCTGTCTCCTGTTCCACCACATCCCAAAGATAATCAACTGGACTGAGATCTGGTGACTGTGGAGGCCACTGGAGTTCAGTGAATGGAGACTCATCGGAGCTGTCAGTGTTTTTCCAAACTCTTCTTGTCCAGTGTTGATAAGTTAGTGGAAACTGTAGCTTCTGTTTCTTGTTCTGAGCTGACAGGAGAGGTACTTGTTGTGGTCTTCTGCTGCTGTAGTCCATCTGCTTCAGGCTGGACTTGTGGTGTATTCAGAGATGGTTTCTGCAGACACTGGTTTGTAACCAGTGGTTATTTGAGCTACTGTTGCCCTTCTGTCATCTCTTAAACCCTTGAATACATGTCTGGTATGTAAATCCCCTTTCTTCCTCTTTCTGCTGATGGCTTTGAACTTCATCAAGTCATCTTCACCACATATGCATACAGTACCTAAAGGCACTGAGATGCTGCCACGTGATTGGCTGATAAGCCATTTGTATAAACCAGTGGACCTCTTAAAGTGGCCGATGAGTGCGTATCTATTGATAGCTTTCTGAAATTTATTTTTGTAATGCACTGTATGTAGACATTAGCCAGACCTCTCTTGCCCGTCTGCAGCTTGTGCAGAACTCTGCTGCTCGCCTGTTAACTCAGACCCATAGGTGCGAGCATATCACTTCCGTCCTGGCGTCCCTTCATTGGCTCCCTGTGCACTACAAATTCATTTTAAGCTTTTTCTATTTGTCTTTAAATGCCTGATCAACGTTGCCCCACCACATGTATCTGAGCTGCTTCAGCCTTACTGCCCACCCCGATCCCTAAAATCAGCTGATCGGTTGCTGCTGATGGTCCTTAAAACTCGTCTGAAGCTCAGAGGTGACAGAGCGTTCGCTGTTGCTGCTCCCAGGTTATAGAACAATTTACAGACAGGCCTCCTCTCCTCCTGTTTTTAATGTTTTTTAAAGATTCACTTTTATTCTTTGGTTTTTAACACGTGATCTTATTTTTTATGGCACCTTAATACACACCTGTTGTGAACATGAGTATGTTTTTATTGTCTTCTAAGGTTCCTTATAATCCAGAGGTTCAAAGGATATTTTACGTCATGAACATCACAGTGACCCAGAGGAAACTTCTTAGACACAGAATGTGTATCAGGATTATGAAAACCTGTTCAAGTTAACTGTCTCCTGGTTTTGTCAGGGTCTTGGTGTCTTTAAAAAAATCTTTTCGTCTACATCCCCTGTTTTTTACTTTTCCATTAATTTCTTTTTTCAGTTTTCTTTACTTTTCAATTTTCATTTTTAAAAGTGGTGAATATTTACACAGGCACTTATTTCATGTTCTTCTTTCAGCTTTTCACTCTTCAGGGGTCTCCACAGCGAGTCCTACTCCTTCATCTCACTCTGTCTTCTGTCCTCACCCTGTCCTCACTTTGTCCTCGCTCTGTGCTATGTCCTCACTCTGTCCTTACTCTGTCCTAGCTCTGTCCTTACTCTGTCCTCTGCATCCTCTGTCCTCACACTCTCCTCTGCATCTTCTGTCCTCACTCTGTCCTCACTCTGTCCTCTGCATCCTCTGTCCTCACTCTGTCCTCACTCTGTCCTCACTCTGTGCTCTGTCCTCACTCTGTCCTCACTCTGTCCTCACTCTGTTCCCTGCATCCTCTGTCCTCACTCTGTCCTCACTCTGTCCCCTGCATCCTCTGTCCTCACTCTGTCCTCTGCATCCTCTGTCCTCACTCTCTCCCCTGCATCCTCTGTCCTCTTCATCTTTATAGGCACTGTACATTTTGTGCAGCTGTCAGTAATGGAGTCCTTTGTTTAATTATGAATTAAAGAGTCACTAAGACTTTTAGAGTCTCAGGAATTACTGACAAAAATGTTTTTATTTTCACATAAACTTTCTGACTTTGACGACAAAATGGAAAAATCTGAAAACAGTTAGTATATTTTAAAAAACCTTTAGTAGTGTCCGTGCAAAGAGTTCAGATCATTTGGAGTCAATTACCAGTAGAGACAACTTCAGATAATTTGAGATTTAAACCTGGGATTAAATATTTCTGCTCCTCTCTGTTTGTGTAGGTCTGACCAGTACCAGAGGTGGATCTATCTCCTCAGACCGACCCTCCTGCAGTATGGCTCTGCTGGTGCACGTGTTGGCGTGCGCCTTCGGCCTCGGCTCCTGGGTGGCGGTAAACGGTTTGTGGGTGGAACTCCCGCTCATCGTCAACGTTCTCCCGGAAGGCTGGGAGCTCCCGTCCTTCCTCACAGTCATCATCCAGCTGGCCAACCTTGGACCCCTGCTGGTCACGCTCATGCACAAACTTTTCCCGGGCCGTCTTAACATGCGGGCCGTCGTTTACTTCATCCTCTCCATCGGCATTGTGTCCTGCATCCTGCTCGTCTTCTTCTGGGACAGGACTACCATTGTGGGCGGAGCACCACACAGTACGGCCTTCTTCATCCTCACCTTCTCCCTTGCTCTGGTGGACTGCACTTCTTCAGTCACTTTTCTCCCTTTTATGATGCAGCTCCCACCAAAATACATCACTACATATTTTATTGGAGAAGGTCTAAGTGGTTTCATTCCTGGTGTGGTTGCTTTGGCACAAGGTGTCGGCATTGCCAAGTGCGTTAATGTTTCTCAGGATTTGGGAAACCACACAGGTGGGGATACGTTGTTACAAACTGAGTATCTCCCTCCAAACTTCTCCTCAGAGGTGTTTTTCTGCTTCCTAGCAGCCATGATGGGCATAAGCATGGCTGCTTTTGTTGGACTGAACAGGCTTCCTCGGACGCTCGAACTGTCCGCAGAAAACCTTGTGCTGGACACGACACCATCTTTCAGCTCCGGGTTGGAAAACCCAGAAGCAAAGACTGATGGAGGAGGCGAGAATAACCAAGAGGAAGGACCAGGTAGAAGGAGGCCCATGCTGAGCTACCCTAAGCACTCCAAGTACCAGCTGATATGGATCTACTTTCTTGTGGTCTGGGTTAATTCTGCGACCAACGGACTGTTGCCGTCTGTTCAGACGTATTCCTGCATGCCCTATGGGAATCTCGTCTATCACCTCTCTGCAGCTCTGGCCTCCGTGGCCAACCCAGTCGCCTGCACTGTTGCAATGTTCTTTCAAAACAGGTAAGGAAGTTTTTCATAGAGCACTTTTTATGCTTAGTGCTTCAGTCAGCATCACTTGTTTGTGCGCTTCAACTCCCAGCAGCCACAATGCCAGGTTACTTTGTGTTTGTTCACATTGTGGCCAGGTATGGTCTGATTGGTGACTTATAAACAGCCTGAGGAAACCTCAGGAGGAGCTCAGCTAAAGACGAGGAAATCTCAGGAGGAGCTCATCTTTAGCTAAACATTTTAGGAAAAAGGCTGAAATTAATGACTGTGTGAATACCAGCACCTAGTTTTTCCCCAGCAGAACAATGCACCCTACTATTATCCACCTGAAAAGGGTCTTGCTCTTCTATCAACTTTCATGTGGCCTGAACCGCAACGTGTCCCCTCACAAATGTTATATCAAAACGACTGGCACCATGATGTGTGCTGGGACTTTTATTGGCGTTTTGAGTTACCATGGCGATGTAATTTGCAAACAAAGACACCATTTTTTTCACTAGAAGACACTGACAGAACTCTGGACAGCCTCTAACTGCCACAGTGGACATGACTTAGAGGGAAGCGATCTCTGAACAAAACACTGATTAACTTTTGGAGCCATTTTTGTTCAAGATGGCTGCCACAGCTAACTCAGAAAACACAAAATTGACTATAACGCAGTCATTTTTTGAGATATTGAGCTGAAATTTGGTTTGGTCATAAAGAGCGAGAGAGAGAGAGAGAGAGAGAGACAGAGCTGTTTTACATTCCTGATACAAATTAAATATCGAAGACGACCACTTAGCTAAAAGGGAAAAAATATGGCAACTCATCTATTTTAAAAGATATTGAGCTGAAATTTTGTGTGTGGTACCTGACAGTGATGCACAACTAGAACTGTCATTTCTAACTCAGGCCTGAAGCCTGGCTCGACCCGACCCAAATTTGGACCGGGACATAATAATGAGCTTAATGTGTGGGCTGGGCCACTCTCAGGCTTGGTTGCAGTTTTATGAATCATACAGCACAAAGAAAACTAAATAAGAATGCACAATATAAAATTAGGGCAGCATGGTGGTGCAACTGGTAGAGCTGCTGCCTCTCAGCAAGCAGGTTACCCTGGTTCAATTCCCGGTCCGGGGGCCTCTCTGGGTGGAGTTTGCATGTTCTCTCCGTGCATGCATGGGTTTTCTCTGGGTACTCCGGTTTCCTCCCACAGATCAAAAACATGCATGTTAGGCTGATTGGTAACTCTAAATTGTTCCCAGGTGTGAGTGAGAGAGTGAATGTTTGTTTGTCTCTATGTGTCCCTGTGATGGACTGGAGACCCGTCCAGGGTGTACCCCGCCCCTCACACAGTGACTGCTGCACATGGGCATCGGCGACCCCCGTGACCCAAAATGGAAGAAGCGGGTAAAAATAATGGATGGATATAAAATTGTGTTAATCTACTTGTAGAGGATGAGGGAGTAAGTTTACATGTTGAGAGGATGAAGAAAGAAAGAAGAGTGCAGCAGTTCATCAGACTGTGAAGAGAGTAGCGCTGGCGCATTGCACAACAATTGTGCATGTTGGCTCAGGCTTTTGATGCGGTTTTACGACTCATACAGCACAAAATTCAACTCAGTTTTCAATTCAGTTTATTTATATAGCGTCAAATCACAACAAAGTTGTCTCAGGGCACTTTACAGAAACATTCACATACATAAAAGCCAATTAGTGAAGTTCTCTATCTAAGGAAAACTAAATAAGAATGCACAATATAAACTTGTGTTAATCTACTTGTTGAGGAGGAGGCAGGTCCAACTGGCTGGTTAAAAAAGGTAAAAAAAAAAAGTCCAGTTAAGCTCAGATGGATCAGCTGATCACCGGCCGCGCGCATCTGCACACCTGCTGTCATCTGCAGTGAAGGAAGTATCAGCATCTGCAAAAGCCGAAGTGAGCAGCGCGTTCAATTAAAATAGCCTTGCTCTATATTCTTCCAAATAATGTTGCTCTAAAAATATTTTTATTCATCTGTATAATAGTTTGTCTTAAGAGTTGACTTTTTTAGGCTATTAGTTTTGTATGTTAATATCCATTTGGTGAAACAATAAATATTATATCTTCCTCTCTTTGAAATATGTTTTAAAATAAATATTATTTCAAACTGATTTGCTTACAAAAGCAGTAAAAGATTAATAAAAACAAGTGTTGTTGTTTTTTGTTCGGGTTTGGGCCTGTAAGTAATTACAGTTAGTTTGTCAGTCTTGGGTCGGGCTTGGAAAAAATGATGCGGTTCGGGCTGGGCCAGATATTTTAGGCCCGAATGCAACTCTATGAAAAACGCATTCTGAATTCAAACCTAAAAATGCAAGATGGCCACCAAAGCTAATTTTAAATGTATAAAACTTAGAGGCTTTTAGAGCTATTTAGTTAAAATTTGTTGTGTTGCTAGCTGAGAGCAAAGCCCATTAAATACTGAATTCAAATAAAAAATTTTAAAGATGGCCACCAAAGCTACATTTAAAATGCTTTAACTCAGCTATTTTTACACATAGAGAGCTGAAATTTGGTGTGGTTTTAGCTGAGAACGTTCTCCATCACATAATGAATCCAAATAAAAAATCCAAGATAGCCGCCAAAGCTTAAAAGAAAAAATGACTATAACTCATTGATTTTTGTCCATATTGCGCTTAAATTTGTTCTCGTGGCATAGATGAGATCAAACCCCAACACATAGTACTGTCAAATCAAAATTTTTAAATGGCCACAATATGGCAGTCCACATCAAAGTTTCTCTAGACACGTTACAAGATGTGGTTTTATTCACTTTACCTGCTGGTGTAATGGGGCTAATTTAAAGGAATGTAAAGTTTTTCATATTTCGTGGTGTAAAAGTAATTTATGTCAATATCCCACTCCTCTTTTATCTGTCTGGACCTCCATGAACTCTATAAGCTCTTTATAAAAAGTTATTTAATGCCAACATGACTGATTATAGGAAGCTAATAGTGTGAGTTATGAATTAGCATCACAAAGTGTATATTTTATATTTTCTTGACATTTTCTGGAGTCTAACTGCTTCAGCATTCTTTCAGCTCTTTCAGACATTCATGGAAGAAAACCTTCAGCTCTAAAATATTCTAGCAGCAACTTTTAGTTGTTGCAAATTCTGTGTTTTTATTTATTTATTATTATTTAACTTGAAACTTGACTATCCTAAAAATGCAGACGTTTTGTTTGTAACTTTAAATTTTTTTAATGGTGCTAAGATACTTGGGCACTAAATTAATGTTAATCAAATATTCCCTTTAAAATAAAAGTATTTCATCTTTTGTTTATTTGAGAAATAAGGAGACTGGAGTTGAAAGGCTTCTTCTGTGTTCAGGTCTCTGGTCTTTCTTGGCGTGCTGACCCTGCTGGGGTCTGGTTTTGGCAGCTACAACATGGCGATGGCAGCTCTGAGTCCTTGTCCTTTGCTTCGTGGGTCTGCAGCAGGAGAGGCGATCATTGTGAGTCCAACACAAACAGTCAAACCTTCACAGACGGTGGTTTTGTTACAGAAGGGTCAAAGTTCAACGTCGGTACCCTCAGTGGTGAGGGAGCTTTTCTCTGAATGGTCCTGACTCGTTAGACAACATCATGGAGTATCTGTCACAGGTCCAATCTGTCACAGGTCCTATCTTTTACATGTCCTA